AAAAAATTTAAAAAAAAAGATAGCTGAAGGAATTGATGAAAAACTGTTAGAACTAATAGACAAATTTAGTGAAGTTGCAGAATATAAGATACATATATACAAAGGCAAATGTGTGTGTTTGCAGTTGCAATGGGTAAAAAAAAATTTAGAAAACTTTCATTATAACAATATTTAGGAAATGCTAAGGAGCACATTTAACATAGGAAATGTGTAGCTGATAACTCTGAAAATTAGAAAACATTGTTGAAAAAGATATTAAACATCTGAATAAACAGAAAATACCCCATAATCATGGTTTAGAAGAGTTAATATTTTAAAAATCACAATACTTGTCAAATTGATATCTGAATTCAGTCTAATCCTTATTAGAATCCTGCTAGGCTCCTTTGTGGAAATTGATAAGCCCATAGAAGGAAGTGGGGAACATGCAGAATCCATTCCAAAGCGTACGGTACAGAACAGTCATAGTCATGATGGTGCTGGCACAGACAGCTAAACAGATCCGGGAGTCCATGCATCCGTGGTAAAAGGATTTTTGCAGACATGCTAGCTTTTTTCAAGGATTAGTGCCTTTTGGAATCATATCCAAAGTATGTGAGAAGGGCTTTACTAAGGCGCACCCGGCTGCGTTTGCTCTAAGATGGACTTATTTGTTCTTTAGGCCGTCCGTTTTTGGCATTCAGTATTCTTCACCAACACCAAAATGTTAAAGGCCTTCATTTTTCAGTCTTCTTTATTCACTGCTCAACTTTGATATGCTTATCAAAGAGTTGAAAATTCCCTGGCTTGGGCCAGGTGCACCTAATCCTTAAATAGACATGCCAACTTTTGAGCATTTTAAAGAGGTTCTTGACAGCAGATGTGTCCACATGCGACTCTTCTCTTGATTTCTTGTTTCCGACTCCCACTTCAGTCTTTTCCTCATAACTCTTGATGTTGCTTGCTGGTTTCCTTGTTGAGGTGTAATAAATATTGAAGGCTACAGTCATTTGATCTTCTGCAGTAAGTGCTTCAAGTCTTCTTCAGTTTCTTCAGGCAAGGTTGTGTCATCTGCATAATGTCAATGAGTTTCCTCCCATCCTTGTGTCATATTCTTCAGCTTTTTTATAAAGGATCTTGAAACTGGCATATGTGTACATGCAGTTTGGTTAGGAGGAGAAGGTATTGCAGCGCTCTGAAGATGTACAGATATATTATTTGATTCTTAAATAATTAGAACTAGATATAGTAGTGGTCATAATTGTATCAGTTTATAGGGTGATAAAAGCAAAAGTTAGTAAGGAGAGGTTTAGTTAGATTATAGACCAGTGGCGTTTAGAAGTCTCCCCCTGCCCCCTTGGTTTTCTAGTACTTCATCGAGTAGCTAACCAAAGGTTGGAAGTTTGAATTTATCAGCTGCTTCATTGGAGAAAGATGGGCAGTCTCTTCTCTTAAAGATTTACAGCTGCAGAAGTCTGCTGGAGGGTTGATGTAACAGCAGTGACGGTGGGTTTCTTAACGAAGTTTGAGAGTTTACTGTAACGTGTATGGAGGTGAGACAAAACCCAAAACTGTGTTGTTGTTGTTGTTATGTGCCGTCGAGTCGCTTGCAACTCATAACGACCCTATGTATAACAGCCCTAA